TAAATCATGATCATAATTGCACGATAACATCGATATTGGATCATGCGATGATAAATATCACAAAATTTGTTCTGTCGCAGCCAAACATTTGCTCCGACAAACCAAATTTCATGATATTAATCGTTGCATGACCAATATCTTATACTTATTGTTTAAACGAGTTGTTTTGCTGGTAAAAATATGACGTACTTTATTTTGTGAATTCAATACAATAAATATTCTCGAAATAAAAGCGAAAATAAAACGAAGTCAAAGTGAAAGTCAAAACGAAAGTCATAACGAAAGTAAATTACCGAAATATTAGAAAGAATTCAAGTTAGTTTTTTTTTTATCTTTTTTTTTTCCCTTCTTTAAAAAAAATTTAATTATATTTTTAAGCAGGAGAAAGATCAACTAAATTCAGGTGACCAACAAAATAATAAACAACAAAGTCAAGATGAACCACAAGATCTTGAAGCACTTGAAGGCTCTCAAGAGATGCAATGTAATAATGAGTATCATACGAAGCTCATTCAAGATTTTTCAAATTTGCTTACCCAAAAAATACACTGGGACATAAAAATAAATGTCACGACGCGTATTTTTGAGGCACATTCGACGGTTCTACGTGCACGATCATCTTTTTTCCGAGAAATTTTATGCAGCAACAGAGTTCAGTGTGAAATATTAATACCAGACATTTCTCCAAAAGCGTTCAAAACATTATTAAAGTATAATACTGTATATATTTTTCAACTAAAATTTACTAGAATGTTAATTAACTTGTTTTATTTTTTAAAATAGTTACATGTATTGTGGAAGTATTTCGCTGGATAACATTCAGCCACTAGAAATTTTCGAACTCCATTTCGCTGCTATCAAATTAAACTTAAGAGAAGTCATTGATTACCTCAACAGTAGTATCACATTTACACGCTAGAGGCTTTTCGGATTATCATTTGAATGTGGGGTTTTTTTGCCAACAAATTGTATAGATCTGTTGTATCACATTTACACGCTAGATGCTTTTCGGATTATCATTTGAATGTGGGGGTTTTTTGCCAGCAAATTGTATAGACCTGTTTAATATAGATTAATAAAGTTACAATTGCAACATTTTAAATATACAAGTAATTGTAATTTCGCTTAATTTCGTTATCATAGAATTCTTTGGGGTTGGGGAAGCAAACAATTTTGAATTCGAATAATTTTGGGTCAATATCGATATTGATAAAGTCATTCTATTCCCAGTAATACAGTATGATTGATATTTGTCTTAATATGGTTTAGTATGAAGATCTCTAACTTTATGGTTATCGTTATGTGGAATTTAAATTTTTTTTTTAATTTGTTGTACGCAGGGATGGTAAATGACCTGAAGTCAAACCGAAAGCCAAAACGAAAGTCAAAACGAAAGTCAAAGTGAAAGTCAAAATGAAAATTACAAAATGAAAGTCAAAGTGAAGTCAAAGTGAAAGTCAAAGTCAAGACGAAAGTCAAAGCAAAAATCAAAACGAAATATTATTTTTAAGCATGATAAACAAACTTTACCGGCAATCAGTTGTCAAAATCGATGTAAGCCAGCAAAAAAGCCGGCTACCTTTTTTTGGGGGCGATGCTAAGTAAGCTCAATCAGCACAACTCTATGATAAAAAAAGATGGTTCAGAGACCATCTTTTTTTATCGTGATAATGAACTCGCTTGACAGAATCATTTATTCTTCATTAATTAAAAATTGAACTCAGACCTATTAATTTAGATGCTTGAGAACACCCTTAGCGGTGCGCTGCTTAAAATGGCTTAAGTTCCAAGCAATATACTCGATAAAATTTTATTGTAAGTTGGATTCGAATTCTTTAACAACCCAAATACGATTTAGAATTCTATTATACGTAACCTATGTTTATTCCAACGTACAACATATAAAGGAAGGTTAGGTATTATGGTACACCTAAGAATGCTAATAGTAAAGTCCTCATATATTCCCAAATTTATTCAAATAAACTAATATCCAACTTAATTCTATTGACAAACAAAAAAAAATTTTTTTTTTAGTGGGGAGGTATTATTATGGGGCACTACGGAAAAAATTATGCAGATAACCCTTTTTATACTAGCACTTTGCAGATCTCCTCGAAATTGCTCAAATAGAAAAATAGCGTAATAACTATAGATGCTGGTGAAATTAATCTATTTCACCAGGTGAAATGGTGAAATAGTTTCACCAAAATTACACCAAAATAAAAATTTTGTGAAATGGTGAAATTGGTGAAATTGGGGAATTGGTGAAATTGGTGAAACGGTGAATTGGTGAAACGGTGAATTGGTGGAAT